GGGAGCTCCTCCCCGGCAGTTGACCCCCCCCCCCCATCGAGTAGTTTGGACGCTTGTAAGGGCTTCGTGGTGACACCACGCGACAGTGACCGACGGTGATCTCGCCGTTGACCGCGGTGACCCCGCTGCCGTCCAGCCTTCTTGACCCAGAAGGCCGGCAGGAGTGCGAAAGGAAGGAAGGAATAAATGCGAGTTGTCCCGGCATCACAAGCGCGATTGTCCCCGTCGTGGCGTCGGAAATATTGCCGCAGTTCTTACACAGCTGGGATGATCGTTTCGAAGTGGACGCTACGCTGATGGCAAACCTTGTAGATGTGAAGGAAAGCTCTGGAACGGAGACAGCTGGGTCCCGTTGGGACCCGGCCGGCCCTGGAGCGGTCGTCAGGCCCCGCCCACGACGGCGCGTGACTGACCGGCCCCGTGCCCTCCTTCGCCCCCGCCTCGTCCGTCCACCCGCTGCGGCGTCTTCTTTACCGTACTACCGTCCTCTCTCCCCTCCCCTCGTCCCGGCGTGGCCGAGGAGTGCGCGTGCTGGCAGCGGCCGCCACCGCCGGCCATAAAGGTCACGGTCCGGCCAGCGTGCAGCGGGCGTGCGGCCCGTGCCCACGGCGACGCGTGGCAGTGAAAGGTCGCGGGTTCGGCAGCGTGACCATTGATGTCGCGCCAGTGACAGGTGCCTCGGGCGAGGTTCTGCGCCGCCGCCGCCGCCGCCGCCGCCGCCATCGTGTTGACCCGCGGTCCGCGTAACGGACAGGGCGCCACTCGGGCCCGTCCGCACTGAAACATTGCGCCGCGCACACAGCGGCGCCGCGCCGTGATGGGCTCCGGTGGCAATTAACGGCGCACTGGCGACGGTCATTTGCCGCTCGGTCGCGAGCGCGGCTAATGGCCCCAGCGCCGGCGCGCAAAGCAATTGGGTGAAAAGTGTGCACGTGTGGAAGGCCAACTGCCGTTTCATTTCAGCTGTTGCGCGGGAGGGACTATTAGAAGACTTCTGTTCATTTAACTGACACCGGCATATGAGGGACGTGGCAACAAGTGAGCCGGTCCTGTCAGGTGGCCGGCTGCCCTTCCGGCGCCGTCGCAAGTGTGCCGCCTCCTGCTCTCGCACATGGTGACAGTCACGTCACGCGGTGCTGACGTCACGCGGGGCTGAGGATGACGCGACATCGTGACGTCCACCTGAACAGGACAGCAGGTCGATTGTTGTCGCCTCGAAAAGAAGGAGAAATCAGCGCCGAAATGAGACGGCGCCACCTGCGCCACCACCTGGCCGATGCGTGCCCGGCGTTGGGCGTCCGAACGTGTCCTGCAACAACGCACGTGGTCCCACCACCCGACCCTCGTGCTCGTGACCTGCCAGGGGAGCGTGACCCGCGCCCGTGCGCGCCGCCTGCGGGGGTGGTGTCACGAGTGTGCGTGAGCCCGAGCTGGCCGGCGTCGGCGCCAGCCCCCGCGCCCACTTGCCGGGTCCCCTGGGCACTGTTCCAGCTGGTCGGACAGGCAAGTCGATGGCGGATTCGACGCTAATTGTGTTTGGACGGCACTCGCCTCGTTGTGGGGCATGGCGGGACGGTTGCATGTCCTGCACTGATTATCATCGGCCGCTGTCCCCGCACGTTGTCGTCAAAGCTCATTAGCCACGGATCGTGGATTGCGAAACCGGTGGAACACTGGCACAGACAGCCACGCGGTTGAGGCGCTCGTTAAACCCGAGGCTGCGGCCCAGTGGACGGCGTTCTCCGCAGCGGACCTGGATTCGCACACGCTCTCAGGCTAGCGGACCGGCATCCACCCGCTGAGCTGCGGCATCGCCTCAGAGGAGCGCCGGGAGGCCTCGGCCCCGCTCAGACGGCCCGCGGGCGCGTCAGGTCACGACCTTCCACCGGCGGTGGGGAGCGGAGGCGGGCGCCGAGCACGCCGCCAATTGTGCAATGCCGTGTCCTGTTGTGCTCTTTCGCATTGCGCGGCTCGGTTAGCGACCCTGTGTTGATCACCGCGGTCAAGGCCAAGGTCAAGGTCAAGGTCCAGGCGCGTGTCATCACGCACCTCCGGCTCAGCGCGGTTAGCGGGTGGTCGTGGAGGCGGAGCCTCTGGCAGGCCTGAATATGCGAGTGATGGGTATCGGGGGCCTCCCTCGCACCCCCGCTTCGCACTCGTGTGCCCCTCACATCTCTCTCACTCGCATGCGGCGTTTTGATGTACCCCCGTGAGCGAAAACGAAACACTAGCGCGTCCAGCTTTTTATTCGGGAGAAATTTTCATCACCATCCCTTAATCATCCCCAGATGATTTCAGCAGTAGCACCAGCTTGGGGCGCCGTGGTCGGGGTCATAACGCTTGGAAGGCTTCAGGCTTCCAAGCCTGCTGGTCTCCAGAGGCCGGATAGACCAGAGGGGACCGCCGGGTGGAGGCCTCTCTCTGCCTCCACCCGGCGGATCGGGCCGATCCTGACCACGGGGCCATTACCATCCAGGCGCGCCATCGACGTCCGGCGGCGCTGACGAGACAAACACGATCAATCGCCGCTCGTCCGCGCCGGGCTCGTTTCCGGCCGCGGCCCCGACACCTGTCTACCCGACGCTGCGCGCGCGCCGGCCCGTTTGAGAACCCCTGGCGACGCGGGCAGCGGCGCGCGCCTGCCGCGGCGGCGGCGGCGGCGGCGGCGGCGGTGGTGGCGGCCGTCAGTCCCTCGCGCTCCGCCCGCTGGTACGGTCACGTGACCGCACGCGCACCCGGCTGCCGCCACGCGTTCCCGGTGATTGTGCTGCTGTTGGCTGCAGTTTCTGCGGAGCTGCCACGCCGTGCTGTACCGTACGCGCCGACAGCGTCGCTTCCAGGGCCGCCGCTTCTGCCGTCCTGCCTGGTAGGTGCTGTCCCCGGCCGGCTGCGTCAGAGCGCGCGGCGCCGCGGACGGACGCCGGGCGGCGAGGCGCCGCGCCAGACCGTAGGGAGGCGCCCTCGGCGCGTCTTGTTTACCTGTGCCCCAGCGGCGGCGGCGGCCGCCCCTGAACCGGCGCCCGGCCGGCCGGCGGACGCAGGGTGGACGGCCGGCCGCCGCTCGTTCTCTATCACCTGGGCGGTGGCCGCCTCAGCCGCCGCCGGACTGGGCTCGCGTGCGCCGCCGCCGGCGACACACATCCCGGCCATTTCCGGGCGGGCCTCAGCGGCCGATCGGTGTGGCCGGCGCTGCGTACCGCGCGCGCGCGCGTGCGTGTGTGTGTGCCGGGTGCCAGCGCCGGCCCCGGCCACGGTCGCAGGAGGCCCGCTCCAGCGCCGGCCGGCTGACAGGTGGTCGCAGCCGGAGCCGCGCGGACGCGCGGGCCCGCGCTCGCGACGGATTTGGGAACGCCGCCGACGCCAGGAAGTGGCCGTTTGAGTGATCGGGTGCGGGCGGGGCCGCTTCGGAGAGCGGCTCTGGGAACCGCGCGCTGCAGGCAGGCTCCGTCCGTCCGCGGGGGCTTCGCGAAAGCCGTCCTCATTAACCGTTCCGTGTGAGACTTTCCCGGCGGAGCGTGCCGCTGCCATGTTTTCCCCCCGCCGTTTTCGTGTCTGCAGCAGCTGGCGGTGTCTTCCGCGCCCGGCTGCCCTGAGCGCATGCGCATGCTGCTGGCGCCTGATACACCCAACGTCGCCAATTCTAGGACGCTGCCGCTCCGTGCAGCGTCGCAGCTGGGACCTCAGCAGGGCCGCCGCCGCCGCCTCCGGTGGTGGCGGCGTGCACTGGCCGTTTCTCTCCGCCGGCAGCCCGCAGCCAGATCTCTCGGAGGCGGCGGAACGTGTGAGACGAGACGAGACGTTGACGTCATAGACCGGCCGAGCTCACGGGGGGGGGGGGGGAGCCGCCCGGAGGTCGAGCCCACGGAGGGACGTCGGTGGTAGCCATCGCCAGTCCGCGGCAACCATCTCCAGTCCGCGGTAACCATCGCCCGTCGGCGGCAACCATCGCCAGTCCGCGGTAACCATCGCCAGTCCGCGGTAACCATCGCCAGTCCGCGGTAACCATCGCCAGTCCGCGGTAACCGTCGCCAGTCCGCGGTAACCGTCGCCAGTCGGCGGTAACCATCGCCCGTCGGCGGTAACCATCGCCAGTCCGCGGTAACCACCACCACCAGCCTGCGGCCCGCTGCTATCTGCCGACCCGTCGAGGCAGCCGACCACACCAAAGCTGAGCCCCGAGGACAGATGTGACGTCACTGGACGGACGGGTGTGACTTCACTCGGCGGACGTGGCGTGACGGCACGGGCGTGAGAACGCCGTCAGGTGTGTGGCGCCACGCCGCCGACGTCACTGTCGTCGCCGGCGCCAGCTGACGCCGCCACCCGCGGCACGTGGGACGACGCCGGGCGGGCCCCGAGCGGCGGGCGCTGCCAAATCACGGCTGCCATTGCGGGGAATTTCCGCCCGGCTCCAATGCATCGTGGGGGAAAACGACGGGCGGTGGCCGTATCTGGACCGAGGAACGCCGCGAGAGTCGGACCTGGGTCGTTACGTCCGGCGGTCAGGCCGAATGTCAGGCCGGGGGCGTCAGCCAGGTCAGGCTGTCACGGTGCACGGGATCGCGCGGGCACGCGCGCGGTCGAGAGCGTGGCGAGTGCTGCGGCGTCGGCTTTCTGGGCCGATGATAGCGCATTTCCGGCCGCCCGGAGGCCGGACAGTTCCTGCCAGGCCGTGGGATTGTCTGGTGGGGCAGGGGCGCGGCCAGGCGCGCGCCGAGGGCGGCCAAGAGCGGGCCTCAACAAGGGCGGCGGCCCCGATGCTGGACGCGGCCTCTGGGTCCTGGCTTGCTGCGCGGCGCCGCGCGCAACAGCCGTCCGCTGCGTCGACTCGCTCTGAGGCTGGAGCCGCCCCTGATTGAGCCCCCGACAGCGAATAGACAGCCGCAGGTCGCTGCCGTCGACCAGTATCGATTCACGACCAGTATCGATTCACGACCAGTATCGATTCAATTACTCGCGTAATTATTCCGGCCAATTTTGACCTAATGAAGCCGCAGCGTGGCCCCCAGATTGCGGGTGATTTTCATTTCGGCCGCGGCAATAATCCGAGTTCGTCGCAGTGGAGGCATCAGGTTTCAGTATGGGCACGTTCCGTGTCGGTGTTTTCGTGCGGCGACGGTTGTTTTGAAGCGCCAGCGCCGGGTTCGCCACCAGGTTTCGTCTGTCAGGATCACAGATATCTGATGTCGATGAAGTGAAATTTGATATCTTTGGTCACGCATTGCCGATCATGTGCGCATTTCGTTCCCGATTTTACCACAAGCACCAGACACCCTGATACCATCGGACACCCTTATACCATTGGACACCCTGATACCATCGGACATTCTGATACCATCGGACACCCTGATACCATCGGTGGCCAGGTGAGCCCGATGTGTAATGTGGGTTGTTGGCGTTGTACAAGGCCAGTGCGGCCTGGCCGGGCCGATCGGCCTCGCGTGTATCGGCCGCGCCGGCCGTTGGGCACGGCCTGGTGCAGCGTGCGCTGCTGGGCGTCAGCCCGGTCTCGTGTCGCCCTGGCGCCACATGGGGGCTGCGTGCCAGCCCCGGGCCCGCCGCGCTCGCGGGGGGGGGGGGTCGCACCGGCCCGTCGGAGCGTCGCCCCAGGCGTGTCGAACGCCTTGCGGAGGTCGGGCACGTCCATGAGGCGCCTCCGGCCCCCCAGCTCGGATGTGGTGCGCCATCGCTACCGCTGGCGGCCCGGCTCCTGTCCTGCGGGGAAGCGCTACCGCTGGCGGCCCGGCTCCTGTCCTGCGGGGCGGCGCTACCGCTGGCAGCCCGGCTCCTGTCCTGCGGGGCGGCGCTACCGCTGGCGGACCGGCTCCTGTTCTGCTGGGCGACCCGGCTCCCGTCCTGCGGGGCGGCGCGGCTCGATGTGCTGACATCTTTGCGGTGGTGGAGCCGCGTCGGACATCGTGGTAGTTTGCCCGCTCTGTGCGCATTGTTAGAATCAGCGCCGTTTTAAACGTCCACCGGTCAGCACATGGATCAGCCAGAACCGTCGCGAAGATTGGTGCCCCTCGTCAGTGCCGTGCTCGCGAGCCGCAATCTCGGTCTTGATCTTGATCTTGATCAGCAAACTTGAGTGACGTACTGCATGTGTGGCTGCACAGTGACGCTGACAGACACCATGCGTCGTCAGTTGGCCGCTGTAAGCCTCCGGCTCCTGTGCGGGAGCGTGCCGGCCGCGTCGCTGCGCAGATCCAGGGCCAGTCGCGACGAAAATAGCCGGTGCGAGCGGAGGTCCCTGGCGCACGCCACGCACGACGCCGGGGAGACGCCGCTTTGGTGTGTGGTACGCACCTCGACCGGACACGCGTGCTGCGCCGATGGGGGGGGGGGGGCGGGGGGGGGACCAACACAGACGTGAAACGCCAGCTGACTCGCCGCGGCTCTGTTTTTGATCGAAGCCCTTGTCCTGCTGTTGCGGTTGATGTTTGTGGCGATGTCATTGATTGCTATGGTAGTCATCGACTGAGATGTATTTTAAGCCGCGCTATCGCTCCGGTATATTGAGGCGTATTGGACGCTCGTCCGCGCCGCCGCCCATCGTCCCCCCCCCCTTCCTTCCCCCGGCCGTCACGTGCGTCGCTTCTGAAAACGTCCGATGTCGGCCCAATTCGGGCGGTCACGCGTCATATCACCAGCCCGGGGGAGGGGAGGGGGAGGCCTGACGACAGCGATGAGGCGGCGCGTGCCCGGTCATCTACGGCGTGCCGGTCGCTCCCGGCGGGCTCATTACGGCCGTGGCCCGGCTACGACTGCCATGCGCGCGGCCTGCCTCCACCTTTTTGCGGCGCCGCGTTCGGCCGTGCGCCGGCTGCAAGGCGCGGCTTGTCGGCGAATTCGGCTGACTAAGCTTACCACGGATGTAAAGCCGTGTCGTTGCCGGTAGCGTTGGCGGGCTTGCAGGAAGCCGGGCGCCGATCCGCGAGATCTCCGCGTTTGGGCCGGGCACGAGGCCGAAATAGCGGCGGAACGGCCGCGCCCTGTGAGCTTTCCGCTCGTTAATCTGCGACCGATCGCAATTTATAGCTTAGCGCATCGGGGAATCGATGGTTTTGGTGGTTTTCCCGAATGCGATTTTCACTTGCTATCGTCGATCAAAGCGGGGCCATGATAAATCGGTGAATTACGAGTCGGCAACATTTTCTGAAAGTGTAAATGACAAGCCGTTGGCCAATGGAGCGATGTGCCAATCTGGTACGGACATCCTCAAGCCATGCGAATCCAATTTGCTCTCACTGTGAGCGCGATCTTTGTCGCTGCTAGTCTTAGACACTTATGTCTTTTCCCAACGACCGCCGAAAAAAACTGTCATCAACACCGCCATTTGTCGGTCACCGTCGCCGCTCGCGGGCGATGACTGTTTTGCCCTCCCCCCTGAATCGTCGCGCGCTGTCTGGTGGCGTCCCGCTCCCCCGGCCTCATCTAACTCCGTCGCCGCCGCTTCAGCTGCCGTCGTCTCGCGCGTTTTTGTCCTCTCTGGTCGCCTGCGGCGGCGGCGGCGGCGGCACGTCTTTTGTGCGGCCAGCGCGGCTGCCATGCCTGCTCCGGGCTCCGCCGGCCGCTCCGCCGGCCGCCCCGCCGGGCTCCGTCGGCCGCTCCGCCCGCCGCTCTGCCGGCCGCTCCGCCGGCGGCCGTCGGCGGCGCCAGCGGACGCGAGCTGATCCCGGGTCAGGGTGGACAGCGGCGCGCCCCGGCGACGGCGCAGCGACGGCGGATTGCGCCGAGGGACTGGTCGGCGAAGACGCTTGTTTGGTGTATTGATTTGGATTCCGCGATCATCAGTATAGCAGCCCCCTGACGCCGTGTGAGCGCGGGCTGCCGTGGGCGGTCGAGCTGAGATCCAATCATGTCGGGGATCAGCTGTTGGGGCGTCGGTCGACCTGCCGGTGTTTGCTGACCCCGGGGGCGCAGCATCGCAGTGGGCCCGACTCCCAAGTCGACCGCCGCACGCGCCGACCGGTGTACAACGTAACCTGTGACCCGTCCTGTGACCTGCTGGACTCCGGCTGTGTTGCGGAGGCGCGAGGGCACCGTGTCTGCTCCGTCCCCCCGCCCGACGGGTTCAATGGGACCACCGCCCCTCCCCCGCCCCCAGCAATCAATGCCGTGAGTCACGCGGCTAGCGCGTGTAGAGCTGAGCACCGTTCGGAATGCAATTTTGTGATGGCGCGACATTTGGCGTGACCTTTGCGAGCGACTGAAGTTTGGGACTGATTAGGCCCCGATAGGTTTCGAGCGAGCAGATCCGGAGCGGCTCGCCGATTGTTTAGAGCGGGTGGATCCGGAGCGGCGCGCCGGTTGTTTAGAGCTGGCGGGTCCGGAGCGGCGCGCCGATTGTTTAGAGCGGGCGGATCCGGAGCGGCGCGCCGGTTGTTAAGAGCGGGCGGATCCGGAGCGGCGCGCCGGTTGTTTCGAGCGAGCAGATCCGGAGCGGCGCGCCGGTTGTTTAGAGCGGGCGGATCCGGAGCGGCGCGCCGGTTGTTTAGAGCGGGCGGATCCGGAGCGGCGCGCCGGTTGTTTCGAGCGAGCAGATCCGGAGCGGCGCGCCGGTTGTTTCGAGCGAGCAGATCCAGAGCGGCGCGCCGGTTGTTTCGAGCGAGCAGATCCGGAGCGGCGCGCTAGTTGTTTAGAGCGGGCGGATCCAGAGCGGCGCGCCGGTTGTTTCGAGCGGGCAGATCCGGAGCGGCGCGCCGGTTGCGAAGGGAATGTTCGGCCCTGACGCGATGTGTCTTAGCGGCGGTTCCCCCCATCCGGGCGGCCCGTTTCGCCATGTCAGCGCCGTCCGCGAGCGGAGAACTCTGTCCGAGACTCGCGGCCAAGAGGACGTTTCAGTTTTGCTGGAGCATTAGTTCTCGCAGCGAGCATCGAAACAGTGGATTTCCAGAGGTTGTGTTTTCTAGATGTAGATAGATCCAAAGATTACATGTAGATTAGACCTAGATCCAGATATAGGATGGCTAGGGTTTTACGTCGCCATGACGTTGCTGTCAAGTTTTCGCAGGCACTCTGATATTTGTCAGGTACCCTTTAACGATAGGTACCAACTTCAGACACAAGTAAAGATACTGCCTTATCATTCGCCTAGAAGGCGATATTGTTCATCGCTGGAGTTTGAAGTGTGCAGCCGTCATCGTCATCGGTGCGTCATCGGTGCGTGCTGCGTTTTGTTTCCGGCTTCTCCCGGTGTGTCGGCCGGTCCGGGAGGACGTGGCGGCGAAGCGGAGACGGCGGTGACACTCGGGAGGTTCTCTCGACTGGGCACCCCTCCACTACGCCTCGTAATCCGTCCCTCCCCCCCACACGACTTCTACCCTGCCCCCACCTCGCTCCCCCAACCTCCACGTCTACCCGACCCCCCCCCCCTCACCCACGCCACGGACCTTCACCTCCACCTCACCCCCCCCCCCCCACCTCTCAGCTCCACCCCCACCTCACCCCTCCGCCGTAAACGGCGCGCCGGTGTGCACGACCGTTGGCACCCAGCACCCAGCGGTGGGTGTTGGACACCCAGCGGTGGGCGGAATCCCGGCGCGGCGCTCGAATCTCGGCAGACGATCAGGCCTCGCAGATCCGCGCCATCTCCACAAGAGCTCGGCCCCTGGGACGCCGGCGGCAGTCGTACCAGGGGGAGAGGGGGGGGGGGGGGGCTCACGGCTCCGCAGTCAGAGCTGAGAGTGCCGCCGCTTTTGAGCCGCGCCGCCGAAGCGTTGGCTGTTTTGACGCAGCGTGGATGTCACAGCGATCAACTCCGCGACGAAGCAGGAGTGGGGGGGGGGGGGGGGCGACGTCACGCATCGTCACACCTCAACGGTGATTTATGGGCGGGGGCCGACTTTTCGGTTGGCGAGTCGCTCCCCAGCATTGATCGCGCGTTTTGCAAACCCCGGCCCCGGTCTGAACGAGGAACGCGCACAGAACGCTTCCGATTTGCAACCAGGGTGCCCATGCGCTGGGTTACAGCCGGCTGGAGGGCTTTGGATTAGCGCACGGCCACACGCCTGTGCCGCGATCTTCCCGGCGCCAGCGCTCCCCATTCACCGGCGCACGCGGCGTACGATTACCTGAGTCACGGTGGCGCCGGCACTGGCGGCGGAGCCTGACGCCCGCCGTCGCCGAATGACCAGCGCTAGCCGCACCGTCGTGCCCTGCTGCTGGTGCTCTGCAGGCGGCGTCACGCGCTCCCGGCGTCACGCGATCTGGGCATCACGCCACACGGGACGTCGTGATTGGCCCGGCGCGTGCGGGTGCGTCACACCGTCACGCGCCGCTGCGTCACGGCCGGCTGGGGAGGGGCGGGCGGGTGCGGGCGGATGGCTCTCGTGGGCGCGTGATTAGGTGACTCGGGCGGCGTACG